GCGCTTGACCGCCATCCAGTGCTCGACTTGGAGGTTTTCCATGAAGCGCGAAACGTAACTCACAGCAAAGGCAATGTCCGGTCGTGTCGCGGTCATCAAGTGCATTAAAGCGCCTACTGCTTCACAAAACGGGGCGTCAATTTTGGTTACTGCACTGCTTGGTATGAGTCAAGAACTGATGTCTGTTGGGCTGGTGACGGCTTTGCAGTCGCTCATGCCAAAACGCTTGAGAACATCTTCCACGTAGCGTCGCTGGCACATCGTCACGCTACCGTTGTCGTTGTCCACCAGCTCGATGCCCAACACGAATGCGCACTTGCCGCTGTCAGTCATTTCCGAAACGCGCCTTCAAGCCACTCTTGGTGCGCATAATCAGTTCGGTCTGATGAACTTTAGACTTCTTGGTCCGAGTGCAAAACGCAAAGTGAATATATATTTATAATAGGTACTTAGTTCGCAACTTTGAATACTACCTCTAAGCCTATTATTCGCAGTGACGTCATCCAGTGACGTCACCCACTGACGTCACCCACTGACGTCATGCAATGACGTCATCCAGTGACGTCATTTCCTGACTTCGCCCTTACTGGTACATACCGGTACCCACCGGTATAGCGAAGCTTGGTCTTCCACTTGCTTCAACACTTGACGCAGCTTGACGAGGTGTCTTCTTCACAGCCGCTGTCTTTTCAACACTCCCTCTCGACTCGTTAGCTGCGGCACCTTGGATCCCAAGTCGATCGCGAATGTTTTCAAATTGTACAGCGGCGATCGGCTTGGTCATCATGTCTGCCAGCATATCTTGAGTCGGGCAATACTCCAAAACGACTTCACCTGATTCCACCTTCTCACGCACAAAAATGGTAGCGTATGTCGATGTGTTTTGTTCTCTTATGGAACTCCGGGTTCTTGGCGAGAGCGATTGATCCTTGGTTGTCTTCATACATCTTGATCGCTTCGTCGCTTGTCATCTCACCAAGTTCCCCCAAAAGCACTTTGAGCCATACTGCTTCTTTGGTTGCTTCGGAAAGCGCCATGTATTCTGCTTCTGTTGAAGATAGCGCGACCGTCCGTTGTTTCTGGCTTTTCCAGCTGATGCATCCTCCGCTCATCATGAACACATAGCCGCTTGTACTTCGTCTTGACTCAATGTCGCCGGCCCAGTCTGCGTCGGTGTACCCGCAGATACGGCTTCCTTCTTCACGTGTAAACTCAAGACCATGATTGGGCGTTGCTTGCAGGTATCTCAGCACACGCTTCAAAGCTTGCCAGTGAGTCGGGCATGGGTCGGACGAGAACTGGGATAATGATCCCACTGCAGCAGCTAGATCCGGACGTGTGGCGACCATGAGATACATGATGCCTCCGACAGCACTTCGATATGGCACGTTGCACATGGTGTCTTCGTGCTTGCATTCTTGTTCACACATGTTCTTGGTTAGCTTCAGGCCGGGATCTTGAGGCGTCTTCACTGGCTTGCTGTTATCCATTCCGAACTTGGTTAACACGGACTTGAGGAACTTGGTTTGTTGTACAGTCACCATTCCCGTCTTACGGTCGTTCTTGATCTCCATGCCGAGAAAGTAATCGAGCTCACCGAGATCCGTCATTTCGAAGCGTTTGCTCAGCGCCATCTTGGTTGACTTGAGGAGTTCGTTGTTGCTGCTGGCCAGGATGAGATCATCGACGTAGAGCACCACGAGAATCATGTCTTGGTCGTCTCGCTTGATGTAGATGCAGTGGTCCGATTCGCACTTCTTGAATCCCATCTTGATCATGAACCCATCGATTGTTTGGTTCCACATGCGAGGCGATTGCTTCAAGCCGTAGAGTGATCTCTTTAGCTTGCACACATAGTCCGGCTGTGTTGCATCCAGGTATCCGTCCGGCTGGTCCATGTAGATGTCTTCGTTGAGGGAGCCGTTAAGAAACGCTGTCTTGACGTCCATCTGATGTAGCATTAGGCCGTACTTAGCCGCCATACTGAGCACCACACGAATCGATGTGAACTTGGCCACCGGTGCGAAAGTTTCTTCATAGTCAACTCCGAATTTCTGTGAGAATCCTTTGGCCACAAGTCTTGCCTTGAAACGTTCAACTTCGCCATCTTGATTCTCCTTTACACAAAAAACCCATCGGCACCCGATGGCCTTGCGACCTTTCGGAAGAGGCACGATTTCCCACGTGTCGTTTCTCTGAAGCGAATCGAACTCCGAGTCACACGCTTCTTTCCACTTGCCGGAGTCGCTTGATTCCATCGCCGACTTGAATGTAGTCGGCGTTTCCCCCACTGAATCAACGATGTAGGCTGCTTCAAAATCCATTGCAGCCGCTGACACATGCTCAAGCGACGGACCTCTGTATGTTCTTCGCTTGGGACTTGGAATGACGGTAGCTTTCTCAAGTGATTGAGTGCGCGTGTGTCTCTTGATGTTGCTCTTCGAAGACCTGGTGTCTTCGTTGTCATCGTCGCTCGAGTCCATGTCGTCGTCAGTTTTACCTTCTTCTTTTTCTTCGTCCTCATCATGATCATCAAACTCAACGACACTTGACTCATCGTTGTAGTTGCGCGGACCTTCATCAAACTTGTCTTCCATGAATGTGGCATCGCGACTGATCTTGATCGCTCCTGTTGACACTTCCTCAAATCGATATGACTTCTGGTGTTCGGCGTATCCCAGGAAACGACAGAGTGATGACTTGGAGTCGAACTTCGCGCGTTTGTCTTGAGGCACTTGAACATACGCGTGGCATCCAAACACTTTAAGGTTGGCCAGAATCGGTTTCTTCATCGTCCACACTTGATATGGAGACTTGTCTTGGTGAATGGCACGTGTTGGACAGCGGTTTCGAAGAAACATCGCCGTCATCACTGCTTCACCCCAGTAGCTCTTTCCCAGTCCAGCGTGTTCCATCATGCAACGCGCACACTCGACCAGAGTGCGATTCATTCTCTCAGCTACTCCGTTTAGCTGAGGAGTATATGGGGGTGTGAACCTTTGTTGTATTCCCCGTTCCGCGCAGAATCGTGCCAGCTTGTCGGACTTGTATTCACCCCCATTGTCGCTTTGAAGGTACTTCACGCGCTTTCCGGTTTGCGTTTCGGCCATCGCAGCGTATTCCATGAACTTCGCCGCAACTTCAGATTTGCTCTTGAGCAGATAGACGACACAGTATCTTGACTTGTCATCAATGAATGTCACGAAGTACCGTTTTCCACTGAAAGTTGCCATCGACATCGGTCCGCATACGTCGCTGTGAATCACTTCGAGGAGTTTGGAGGTGCGAGCTGTAGTGTTTGATTGGAAGCGCACTCGAGTCTGTTTTCCCAGAGCACAACCTTCACACACGTCCCACTTCTTCACCGAAGATATGTCGATGCCAATTCCAATGTTCTTCGTCACGATGCAATTGAGTCCATCGTGACCTATGTGGCCAAGCCGAAGGTGCCAGAGGTACGACTTGGTGCCCCCTTGACATCCCGACGACTTGGCTGCATTTGCTTGTTCCGGCGCCACTGGAGTCATTTGCAGCTTGAACAGTCCTTTACCTTCACGGGCACCAATTTTCCACTTGGTCCCTTTCGCTTCTCCATAGCACCCATCCTTCGTGAACGTCACTGGGCCGACATCCTTGGTGAAGCGGCCGACCGAGAACAGGTTTCTGGATAACTTTGGGATGTGCCACACGTTTGTGAGCACACCTTTCTTCATCCCTTGGGGTGTCTTCATCGACATGACAATGTCCCCACTGCCGATTGCTTGGACGATTCCATCATCCGCGAGATGGACATCCACAGCGTCAAACCCCTTGTAGTTCCGCATGAACTTCTTGGAGCACGTCATGTGCTGCGTCGCCCCGGAGTCGACCAGCCAGATGTCGCTCGATTTCGCAGATGTCGTTTCACCGATCGAAAAGAGGTAGTCGCCCGAGTCTTCTTCTTGAGCGACGTTTGCACGTTGTGATCGATAGCGGTCGCCGCTGTCTTGAGCACGCTGTGGCCGGTGTCTCTCCGTGTTTTCTTGGATGCGCGAGGGGCACTCCGCCATCCAGTGACCAATCTTTCCGCAATTGTGGCACGGCCAGGACTTCTTCACTGGTCGCCCTTTGCGCTGATTGCCCCTTGTGATGAACGCTTGACCTTGCGAAGCTTCATCACCTTTACTTCCTTGCTCCTTCCGCTTCATTTCTTCATGAAGCAGTCGAGACGTCACGAGCTCCCAGCTAAGAGTGTCTGAGCGCGACTCCAAAGCTGTGATCAAGAATTGATACGAGTCACTCAGGCTGCCGAGGAGTGTGATCACCAGATCGTCCTCGCAGACTGGAGCCCCCACCGCTTCTAGCTGTTCCGCCAGCGTCTTGAGCTTGTTGATGTGTTCGAGCACATCGTCGCCTTCTTCCATCATTGTCGTGAAGAAGCGACGGCGCAAGAACAGCTTGTTGGCAAGACTCTTCTTCTCGAAGTGGTCTTCCAACCTTGACCATGCGTCGCATGCACCACTTGCCGACCGGACCAACGGTAGCTGGGAATCTTCCATGGCTAGACAGATCACTGCCATCGCCTTTCTTGACTTCCTCTTGTACGTCGCTTGGTCCAACTGAGTCTCGCACTGTTCCGCCTTGATCTCACCGCTGACGACCTCCCATAGGTCCCGTTCCTCCAGCACCATCTGCATCTTGAACTTCCAGGCGTGGAAGTTAGTTCCATCGAACTTGGAGATGCGGAGGGAGGAGGCGTCCATGGCAGCTAAGCTTGAATTGTTGGCGGTTTCAGAGTCTGACGAACTTGGGCTCATAACCTGATGAACTTTAGACTTCTTGGTCCGAGTGCAAAACGCAAAGTGAATATATATTTATAATAGGTACTTAGTTCGCAACTTTGAATACTACCTCTAAGCCTATTATTCGCAGTGACGTCATCCAGTGACGTCACCCACTGACCTCACCCACTGACGTCATGCAATGACGTCATCCAGTGACGTCATTTCCTGACTTCGCCCTTACTGGTACATACCGGTACCCACCGGTATAGCGAAGCTTGGTCTTCCACTTGCTTCAACACTTGACGCAGCTTGACGAGGTGTCTTCTTCACAGCCGCTGTCTTTTCAACACGGTCGAGCTGCCAGTCACCAACACATCATCGACGTATACCAGCAAAAGCACGCACTCGCCACTTGTAATCTTGAGATAAAGACACGGGTCAAAATGAGATACTTGAAATCCAATGGAGCAGACGAACTCATAGAAATTTCCTTCCATACGCGCGATGCTTGTTTTAGTCCGTAGATCGCCTTCAACAATTCGAAGCAGTCAAAGTCTTCATCAACTTCGACCCCTTCTGGGATCGCGCAGAATACCTTTTCCTTCATCTCTTCGCATAGCAAAGCTGTCACCACGTCCAGTAGGTCCAGTGTCCAGTCAAAGTACTTCGTGATTGCAACTACCATGCGCAGCGTCACGTACTTGACTACCGGCAAAAACGTCTCCGTGTAGTCGATGCCATATTTCTGCTTGAACCCTTTTGCCACGAGACGCGCCTTGTATTTCTCGATGGATCCATCAGCTTTCCGCTTGATATTGAATACCCACTTGGTGCCAATGGTATGCTGTCCAGCTGGCTGTTTGGGCGCTCGAAGCACGCCACGAAGTTTCATCGAGTCCAACTCAGCACAGATTGCTTCACACCAATGCACTTGATCCGGTCCATCAACAGCATCTTTAAACGTTGTCGGCTCAGACAAGTCAGTACCTTCGACTGCGTTGACACTCGCTCGCCAAAAGACTTGAGGTGTAGCATCCTCGTTATCTTCGTCACTGCCCTTTTGCTCTTCGTCCAGATTTGCTCGAGCGCTTTACCGTCGCTTCGCTTGGTGCGTTTCAAAGTCATCCGGTGCACTTGCTTCTTCGAACCCGGTTCCACGACGCTCAGGAAGTGTCCGTTGTAGAGCTTGTTCTTGGCTGTTTGAACGGCTTTTGCGTTTTCCAATTTGCTTGAACTCCATAGGGTGAGGCTCATCGCTAATGTTCATCGATTCGACATCCAGCGCAGTGTCATCAACAATTTCTTGTGGTAGCGTCGGCGAGAAACCAAACGTTGGTTCGTCGAATGTGACATCGCGAGATATCACCACTTGATCCGCTTCAATGTCGTAAACGCGATATGCCTTTGACACTTCTTCGTACCCCATGAATCGTCCTTCACGAGCCTTTGGATCCCATTTCGATCTCTTTTCCTTAGGGGTCAGCACAAACGTTCGGCAGCCGAAAACCCGCATGTGCTTCACACTTGGTCGAAATCCGTTGACGATCTCGAACGGGGTTTGATCTTGGCACTTGGGCGATGGTAGGCGATTCTTGATGTAGATCGCCGTCATTGCTGCTTCAACTCAAAAAAACTTGTCCAGCTTGGCGTAGTGAAGCATGCTGCGCCCGATCGTCACAATGGTCCGAATTGCCCGTTCCGCCGTGCCGTTGGTCTGATGCGCATATGGAACGGTAACTTGCTGCTCGATTCGTTGATCATCGTAAAATGCCTTGAGCGAATTTGCCACAGATTCGCGTGCACCATCGTGGCGAACGAACTTGACCTTGTAGTCAAACTGCGTCTGTACTGCCACGATGTACTTCTTGATGCACTCTTCGCTGTCGGAATTGGCGCGCAGACTGAAACCCTTCATACATCCGCTGCCTTCATCTACGGTCAGTAGCAAGTACTTGCTTCCACCTAGCGAGTCGACTTCCATTGGACCACAAGTGTCGATGTGCTTGGCCCGACCATGGTTCACAGGATTCTTCGTCATCTTGATGCACGATTGGTTGTCTTCCATGATCTTGAGCTCGGGTCCAGACTTGTCCTCTGCGGCATCCAGAATCTCGCATAGCAATCGATGCACCCACTTGCCTTCTTGAATAGCCAGACTTAATGCAATGCAGTCAGCTTCACTTGTTGACAGCGACACACTTGACTGCTTTTTGCTTCCCCAGCTCACCGGATCACCCATCAGGATGAGCGCATATCCCGAAGTCGACTTGCGGTCTGCATGGTCGCCGGCCCAGTCTGCATCCGAGTAGCCGCAGAAGTCTATCTTGTCATCAGACTTGAAACAGATGCCGTCCGACTTAGTCCCTTGTAAGTATCGCAAAATGCGCTTGACCGCCATCCAGTGCTCGACTTGGAGGTTTTCCATGAAGCGCGAAACGTAACTCACAGCAAAGGCAATGTCCGGTCGTGTCGCGGTCATCAAGTGCATTAAAGCGCCTACTGCTTCACAAAACGGGGCGTCAATTTTGGTTACTGCACTGCTTGGTATGAGTCAAGAACTGATGTCTGTTGGGCTGGTGACGGCTTTGCAGTCGCTCATGCCAAAACGCTTGAGAACATCTTCCACGTAGCGTTGCTGGCACATCGTCACGCTACCGTTGTCGTTGTCCACCAGCTCGATGCCCAACACGAATGCGCACTTGCCGCTGTCAGTCATTTCGAAACGCGCCTTCAAGCCACTCTTGGTGCGCATAATCAGTTCGGTCTGATGAACTTTAGACTTCTTGGTCCGAGTGCAAAACGCAAAGTGAATATATATTTATAATAGGTACTTAGTTCGCAACTTTGAATACTACCTCTAAGCCTATTATTCGCAGTGACGTCATCCAGTGACGTCACCCACTGACGTCACCCACTGACGTCATGCAATGACGTCATCCAGTGACGTCATTTCCTGACTTCGCCCTTACTGGTACATACCGGTACCCACCGGTATAGCGAAGCTTGGTCTTCCACTTGCTTCAACACTTGACGCAGCTTGACGAGGTGTCTTCTTCACAGCCGCTGTCTTTTCAACACTCCCTCTCGACTCGTTAGCTGCGGCACCTTGGATCCCAAGTCGATCGCGAATGTTTTCAAATTGTACAGCGGCGATCGGCTTGGTCATCATGTCTGCCAGCATATCTTGAGTCGGGCAATACTCCAAAACGACTTCACCTGATTCCACCTTCTCACGCACAAAATGGTAGCGTATGTCGATGTGTTTTGTTCTCTTATGGAACTCCGGGTTCTTGGCGAGAGCGATTGATCCTTGGTTGTCTTCATACATCTTGATCGCTTCGTCGCTTGTCATCTCACCAAGTTCCCCCAAAAGCACTTTGAGCCATACTGCTTCTTTGGTTGCTTCGGAAAGCGCCATGTATTCTGCTTCTGTTGAAGATAGCGCGACCGTCCGTTGTTTCTGGCTTTTCCAGCTGATGCATCCTCCGCTCATCATGAACACATAGCCGCTTGTACTTCGTCTTGACTCAATGTCGCCGGCCCAGTCTGCGTCGGTGTACCCGCAGATACGGCTTCCTTCTTCACGTGTAAACTCAAGACCATGATTGGGCGTTGCTTGCAGGTATCTCAGCACACGCTTCAAAGCTTGCCAGTGAGTCGGGCATGGGTCGGACGAGAACTGGGATAATGATCCCACTGCAGCAGCTAGATCCGGACGTGTGGCGACCATGAGATACATGATGCCTCCGACAGCACTTCGATATGGCACGTTGCACATGGTGTCTTCGTGCTTGCATTCTTGTTCACACATGTTCTTGGTTAGCTTCAGGCCGGGATCTTGAGGCGTCTTCACTGGCTTGCTGTTATCCATTCCGAACTTGGTTAACACGGACTTGAGAAACTTGGTTTGTTGTACAGTCACCATTCCCGTCTTGATGAACTTTAGACTTCTTGGTCCGAGTGCAAAACGCAAAGTGAATATATATTTATAATAGGTACTTAGTTCGCAACTTTGAATACTACCTCTAAGCCTATTATTCGCAGTGACGTCATCCAGTGACGTCATTTCCTGACTTCGCCCTTACTGGTACATACCGGTACCCACCGGTATAGCGAAGCTTGGTCTTCCACTTGCTTCAACACTTGACGCAGCTTGACGAGGTGTCTTCTTCACAGCCGCTGTCTTTTCAACACTCCCTCTCGACTCGTTAGCTGCGGCACCTTGGATCCCAAGTCGATCGCGAATGTTTTCAAATTGTACAGCGGCGATCGGCTTGGTCATCATGTCTGCCAGCATATCTTGAGTCGGGCAATACTCCAAAACGACTTCACCTGATTCCACCTTCTCACGCACAAAATGGTAGCGTATGTCGATGTGTTTTGTTCTCTTATGGAACTCCGGGTTCTTGGCGAGAGCGATTGATCCTTGGTTGTCTTCATACATCTTGATCGCTTCGTCGCTTGTCATCTCACCAAGTTCCCCCAAAAGCACTTTGAGCCATACTGCTTCTTTGGTTGCTTCGGAAAGCGCCATGTATTCTGCTTCTGTTGAAGATAGCGCGACCGTCCGTTGTTTCTGGCTTTTCCAGCTGATGCATCCTCCGCTCATCATGAACACATAGCCGCTTGTACTTCGTCTTGACTCAATGTCGCCGGCCCAGTCTGCGTCGGTGTACCCGCAGATACGGCTTCCTTCTTCACGTGTAAACTCAAGACCATGATTGGGCGTTGCTTGCAGGTATCTCAGCACACGCTTCAAAGCTTGCCAGTGAGTCGGGCATGGGTCGGACGAGAACTGGGATAATGATCCCACTGCAGCAGCTAGATCCGGACGTGTGGCGACCATGAGATACATGATGCCTCCGACAGCACTTCGATATGGCACGTTGCACATGGTGTCTTCGTGCTTGCATTCTTGTTCACACATGTTCTTGGTTAGCTTCAGGCCGGGATCTTGAGGCGTCTTCACTGGCTTGCTGTTATCCATTCCGAACTTGGTTAACACGGACTTGAGAAACTTGGTTTGTTGTACAGTCACCATTCCCGTCTTACGGTCGTTCTTGATCTCCATGCCGAGAAAGTAATCGAGGCTCACCGAGATCCGTCATTTCGAAGCGTTTGCTCAGCGCCATCTTGGTTGACTTGAGGAGTTCGTTGTTGCTGCTGGCCAGGATGAGATCATCGACGTAGAGCACCACGAGAATCATGTCTTGGTCGTCTCGCTTGATGTAGATGCAGTGGTCCGATTCGCACTTCTTGAATCCCATCTTGATCATGAACCCATCGATTGTTTGGTTCCACATGCGAGGCGATTGCTTCAAGCCGTAGAGTGATCTCTTTAGCTTGCACACATAGTCCGGCTGTGTTGCATCCAGGTATCCGTCCGGCTGTGTTGCATCCAGGTATCCGTCCGGCTGGTCCATGTAGATGTCTTCGTTGAGGGAGCCGTTAAGAAACGCTGTCTTGACGTCCATCTGATGTAGCATTAGGCCGTACTTGGCCGCCATACTGAGCACCACACGAATCGATGTGAACTTGGCCACCGGTGCGAAAGTTTCTTCATAGTCAACTCCGAATTTCTGTGAGAATCCTTTGGCCACAAGTCTTGCCTTGAAACGTTCAACTTCGCCATCTTGATTCTCCTTTACACGAAAAACCCATCGGCACCCGATGGCCTTGCGACCTTTCGGAAGAGGCACGATTTCCCACGTGTCGTTTCTCTGAAGCGAATCGAACTCCGAGTCACACGCTTCTTTCCACTTGCCGGAGTCGCTTGATTCCATCGCCGACTTGAATGTAGTCGGCGTTTCCCCCACTGAATCAACGATGCAGGCTGCTTCAAAATCCATTGCAGCCGCTGACACATGCTCAAGCGACGGACCTCTGTATGTTCTTCGCTTGGGACTTGGAATGACGGTAGCTTTCTCAAGTGATTGAGTGCGCGTGTGTCTCTTGATGTTGCTCTTCGAAGACCTGGTGTCTTCGTTGTCATCGTCGCTCGAGTCCATGTCGTCGTCAGTTTTACCTTCTTCTTTTTCTTCGTCCTCGTCATGATCATCAAACTCAACGACACTTGACTCATCGTTGTAGTTGCGCGGACCTTCATCAAACTTGTCTTCCATGAATGTGGCATCGCGACTGATCTTGATCGCTCCTGTTGACACTTCCTCAAATCGATATGACTTCTGGTGTTCGGCGTATCCCAGGAAACGACAGAGTGATGACTTGGAGTCGAACTTCGCGCGTTTGTCTTGAGGCACTTGAACATACGCGTGGCATCCAAACACTTTAAGGTTGGCCAGAATCGGTTTCTTCATCGTCCACACTTGATATGGAGACTTGTCTTGGTGAATGACACGTGTTGGACAGCGGTTTCGAAGAAACATCGCCGTCATCACTGCTTCACCCCAGTAGCTCTTTCCCAGTCCAGCGTGTTCCATCATGCAACGCGCACACTCGACCAGCGTGCGATTCATTCTCTCAGCTACTCCGTTTAGCTGAGGAGTATATGGGGGTGTGAACCTTTGTTGTATTCCCCGTTCCGCGCAGAATCGTGCCAGCTTGTCGGACTTGTATTCACCCCCATTGTCGCTTTGAAGGTACTTCACGCGCTTTCCGGTTTGCGTTTCGGCCATCGCAGCGTATTCCATGAACTTCGCCGCAACTTCAGATTTGCTCTTGAGCAGATAGACGACACAGTATCTTGACTTGTCATCAATGAATGTCACGAAGTACCGTTTTCCACTGAAAGTTGCCATCGACATCGGTCCGCATACGTCGCTGTGAATCACTTCGAGGAGTTTGGAGGTGCGAGCTGTAGTGTTTGATTGGAAGCGCACTCGAGTCTGTTTTCCCAGAGCACAACCTTCACACACGTCCCACTTCTTCACCGAAGATATGTCGATGCCAATTCCAATGTTCTTCGTCACGATGCAATTGAGTCCATCGTGACCTATGTGGCCAAGCCGAAGGTGCCAGAGGTACGACTTGGTGCCCCCTTGACATCCCGACGACTTGGCTGCATTTGCTTGTTCCGGCGCCACTGGAGTCATTTGCAGCTTGAACAGTCCTTTACCTTCACGGGCACCAATTTTCCACTTGGTCCCTTTCGCTTCTCCATAGCACCCATCCTTCGTGAACGTCACTGGGCCGACATCCTTGGTGAAGCGGCCGACCGAGAACAGGTTTCTGGATAACTTTGGGATGTGCCACACGTTTGTGAGCACACCTTTCTTCATCCCTTGGGGTGTCTTCATCGACATGACAATGTCCCCACTGCCGATTGCTTGGACGATTCCATCATCCGCGAGATGGACATCCACAGCGTCAAACCCCTTGTAGTTCCGCATGAACTTCTTGGAGCACGTCATGTGCTGCGTCGCCCCGGAGTCGACCAGCCAGATGTCGCTCGATTTCGCAGATGTCGTTTCACCGATCGAAAAGAGGTAGTCGCCCGAGTCTTCTTCTTGAGCGACGTTTGCACGTTGTGATCGATAGCGGTCGCCGCTGTCTTGAGCACGCTGTGGCCGGTGTCTCTCCGTGTTTTCTTGGATGCGCGAGGGGCACTCCGCCATCCAGTGACCAATCTTTCCGCAATTGTGGCACGGCCAGGACTTCTTCACTGGTCGCCCTTTGCGCTGATTGCCCCTTGTGATGAACGCTTGACCTTGCGAAGCTTCATCACCTTTACTTCCTTGCTCCTTCCGCTTCATTTCTTCATGAAGCAGTCGAGACGTCACGAGCTCCCAGCTAAGAGTGTCTGAGCGCGACTCCAAAGCTGTGATCAAGAATTGATACGAGTCACTCAGGCTGCCGAGGAGTGTGATCACCAGATCGTCCTCGCAGACTGGAGCCCCCACCGCTTCTAGCTGTTCCGCCAGCGTCTTGAGCTTGTTGATGTGTTCGAGCACATCGTCGCCTTCTTCCATCATTGTCGTGAAGAAGCGACGGCGCAAGAACAGCTTGTTGGCAAGACTCTTCTTCTCGAAGTGGTCTTCCAACCTTGACCATGCGTCGCATGCACCACTTGCCGACCGGACCAACGGTAGCTGGGAATCTTCCATGGCTAGACAGATCACTGCCATCGCCTTTCTTGACTTCCTCTTGTACGTCGCTTGGTCCAACTGAGTCTCGCACTGTTCCGCCTTGATCTCACCGCTGACGACCTCCCATAGGTCCCGTTCCTCCAGCACCATCTGCATCTTGAACTTCCAGGCGTGGAAGTTAGTTCCATCGAACTTGGAGATGCGGAGGGAGGAGGCGTCCATGGCAGCTAAGCTTGAATTGTTGGCGGTTTCAGAGTCTGACGAACTTGGGCTCATAACCTGATGAACTTTAGACTTCTTGGTCCGAGTGCAAAACGCAAAGTGAATATATATTTATAATAGGTACTTAGTTCGCAACTTTGAATACTACCTCTAAGCCTATTATTCGCAGTGACGTCATCCAGTGACGTCATGCAATGACGTCATCCAGTGACGTCATTTCCTGACTTCGCCCTTACTGGTACATACCGGTACCCACCGGTATAGCGAAGCTTGGTCTTCCACTTGCTTCAACACTTGACGCAGCTTGACGAGGTGTCTTCTTCACAGCCGCTGTCTTTTCAACACTTGCCTTCTTGAATAGCCAGACTTAATGCAATGCACTCAGCTTCACTTGTTGACAGCGACACACTTGACTGCTTTTTGCTTCCCCAGCTCACCGGATCACCCATCAGGATGAGCGCATATCCCGAAGTCGACTTGCGGTCTGCATGGTCGCCGGCCCAGTCTGCATCCGAGTAGCCGCAGAAGTCTATCTTGTCATCAGACTTGAAACAGATGCCGTCCGACTTAGTCCCTTGTAAGTATCGCAAAATGCGCTTGACCGCCATCCAGTGCTCGACTTGGAGGTTTTCCATGAAGCGCGAAACGTAACTCACAGCAAAGGCAATGTCCGGTCGTGTCGCGGTCATCAAGTGCATTAAAGCGCCTACTGCTTCACAAAACGGGGCGTCAATTTTGGTGACTGCACTGCTTGGTATGAGTCAAGAACTGATGTCTGTTGGGCTGGTGACGGCTTTGCAGTCGCTCATGCCAAAACGCTTGAGAACATCTTCCACGTAGCGTCGCTGGCACATCGTCACGCTACCGTTGTCGTTGTCCACCAGCTCGATGCTCAACACGAATGCGCACTTGCCGCTGTCAGTCATTTCGAAACGCGCCTTCAAGCCACTCTTGGTGCGCATAATCAGTTCGGTCGAGCTGCCAGTCACCAACACATCATCGACGTATACCAGCAAAAGCACGCACTCGCCACTTGTAATCTTGAGATAAAGACACGGGTCAAAATGAGATACTTGAAATCCAATGGAGCAGACGAACTCATAGAAATTTCCTTCCATACGCGCGATGCTTGTTTTAGTCCGTAGATCGCCTTCAACAATTCGAAGCAGTCAAAGTCTTCATCAACTTCGACCCCTTCTGGGATCTCGCAGAATACCTTTTCCTTCATCTCTTCGCATAGCAAAGCTGTCACCACGTCCAGTAGGTCCAGTGTCCAGTCAAAGTACTTCGTGATTGCAACTACCATGCGCAGCGTCACGTACTTGACTACCGGCAAAAACGTCTCCGTGTAGTCGATGCCATATTTCTGCTTGAACCCTTTTGCCACAAGACGTGTTGAAAAGACAGCGGCTGTGAAGAAGACACCTCGTCAAGCTGCGTCAAGTGTTGAATCAAGTGGAAGACCAAGCTTCGCTATACCGGTGGGTACCGGTATGTACCAGTAAGGGCGAAGTCAGGAAATGACGTCACTGGATGACGTCATTGCATGACGTCAGTGGGTGACGTCAGTGGGTGACGTCACTGGTGTTGAAAAGACAGCGGCTGTGAAGAAGACACCTCGTCAAGCTGCGTCAAGTGTTGAAGCAAGTGGAAGACCAAGCTTCGCTATACCGGTGGGTACCGGTATGTACCAGTAAGGGCGAAGTCAGGAAATGACGTCACTGGATGACGTCATTGCATGACGTCAGTGGGTGACGTCAGTGGGTGACGTCACTGGATGACGTCACTGCGAATAATAGGCTTAGAGGTAGTATTCAAAGTTGCGAACTAAGTACCTATTATAAATATATATTCACTTTGCGTTTTGCACTCGGACCAAGAAGTCTAAAGTTCATCAGGTTATGAGCCCAAGTTCGTCAGACTCTGAAACCGCCAACAATTCAAGCTTAGCTGCCATGGACGCCTCCTCCCTCCGCATCTCCAAGTTCGATGGAACTAACTTCCACGCCTGGAAGTTCAAGATGCAGATGGTGCTGGAGGAACGGGACCTATGGGAGGTCGTCAGCGGTGAGATCAAGGCGGAACAGTGCGAGACTCAGTTGGACCAAGCGACGTACAAGAGGAAGTCAAGAAAGGCGATGGCAGTGATCTGTCTAGCCATGGAAGATTCCCAGCTACCGTTGGTCCGGTCGGCAAGTGGTGCATGCGACGCATGGTCAAGGTTGGAAGACCACTTCGAGAAGAAGAGTCTTGCCAACAAGCTGTTCTTGCGCCGTCGCTTCTTCACGACAATGATGGAAGAAGGCGACGATGTGCTCGAACACATCAACAAGCTCAAGACGCTGGCGGAACAGCTAGAAGCGGTGGGGGCTCCAGTCTGCGAGGACGATCTGGTGATCACACTTCTCGGCAGCCTGAGTGACTCGTATCAATTCTTGATCACAGCTTTGGAGTCGCGCTCAGACACTCTTAGCTGGGAGCTCGTGACGTCTCGACTGCTTCATGAAGAAATGAAGCGGAAGGAGCAAGGAAGTAAAGGTGATGAAGCTTCGCAAGGTCAAGCGTTCATCACAAGGGACAATCAGCGCAAAGGGCGACCAGTGAAGAAGTCCTGGCCGTGCCACAATTGCGGAAAGATTGGTCACTGGATGGCGGAGTGCCCCTCGCGCATCCAAGAAAACACGGAGAGACACCGGCCACAGCGTGCTCAAGACAGCGGCGACCGCTATCGATCACAACGTGCAAACGTCGCTCAAGAAGAAGACTCGGGCGACTACCTCTTTTCGATCGGTGAAACGACATCTGCGAAATCGAGCGACATCTGGCTGGTCGACTCCGGGGCGACGCAGCACATGACGTGCTCCAAGAAGTTCATGCGGAACTACAAGGGGTTTGACGCTGTGGATGTCCATCTCGCGGATGATGGAATCGTCCAAGCAATCGGCAGTGGGGACATTGTCATGTCGATGAAGACACCCCAAGGGATGAAGAAAGGTGTGCTCACAAACGTGTGGCACATCCCAAAGTTATCCAGAAACCTGTTCTCGGTCGGCCGCTTCATCAAGGATGTCGGCCCAGTGACGTTCACGAAGGATGGGTGCTATGGAGAAGCGAAAGGGACCAAGTGGAAAATTGGTGCCCGTGAAGGTAAAGGACTGTTCAAGCTGCAAATGACTCCAGTGGCGCCGGAACAAGCAAATGCAGCCAAGTCGTCGGGATGTCAAGGGGGCACCAAGTCGTACCTCTGGCACCTTCGGCTTGGCCACATAGGTCACGATGGACTCAATTGCATCGTGACGAAGAACATTGGAATTGGCATCGACATATCTTCGGTGAAGAAGTGGGACGTGTGTGAAGGTTGTGCTCTGGGAAAACAGACTCGAGTGCGCTTCCAATCAAACACTACAGCTCGCACCTCCAAACTCCTCGAAGTGATTCACAGCGACGTATGCGGACCGATGTCGATGGCAACTTTCAGTGGAAAACGGTACTTCGTGACATTCATTGATGACAAGTCAAGATACTGTGTCGTCTATCTGCTCAAGAGCAAATCTGAAGTTGCGGCGAAGTTCATGGAATACGCTGCGATGGCCGAAACGCAAACCGGAAAGCGCGTGAAGTACCTTCAAAGCGACAATGGGGGTGAATACAAGTCCGACAAGCTGGCACGATTCTGCGCGGAACGGGGAATACAACAAAGGTTCACACCCCCATATACTCCTCAGCTAAACGGAGTAGCTGAGAGAATGAATCGCACGCTGGTCGAGTGTGCGCGTTGCATGATGGAACACGCTGGACTGGGAAAGAGCTACTGGGGTGAAGCAGTGATGACGGCGATGTTTCTTCGAAACCGCTGTCCAACACGTGCCATTCACCAAGACAAGTCTCCATATCAAGTGTGGACGATGAAGAAACCGATTCTGGCCAACCTTAAAGTGTTTGGATGCCACGCGTATGTTCAAGTGCCTCAAGACAAACGCGCGAAGTTCGACTCCAAGTCATCACTCTGTCGTTTCCTGGGATACGTCGAACACCAGAAGTCATATCGATTTGAGGAAGTGTCAACAGGAGCGATCAAGATCAGTCGCGATGCCACATTCATGGAAGACAAGTTTGATGAAGGTCCGCGCAACTACAACGATGAGTCAAGTGTCGTTGAGTTTGATGATCATGATGAGGACGAAGAAAAAGAAGAAGGTAAAACTGACGACGACATGGACTCGAGCGACGATGACAACGAAGACACCAGGTCTTCGAAGAGCAACATCAAGAGACACACGTGTTGAAAAGACAGCGGCTGTGAAGAAGACACCTCGTCAAGCTGCGTCAAGTGTTGAAGCAAGTGAAAGACCAAGCTTCGCTATACCGGTGGGTACCGGTATGTACCAGTAAGGGCGAAGTCAGGAAATGACGTCACTGGATGACGTCATTGCATGACGTCAGTGGGTGACGTCACTGGATGACGTCACTGCGAATAATAGGCTTAGAGGTAGTATTCAAAGTTGCGAACTAAGTACCTATTATAAATATATATTCTCTTTGCGTTTTGCACTCGGACCAAGAAGTCTAAAGTTCATCAGGTTATGAGCCCAAGTTCGTCAGACTCTGAAACCGCCAACAATTCAAGCTTAGCTGCCATGGACGCCTCCTCCCTCCGCATCTCCAAGTTCGATGGAACTAACTTCCACGCCTGGAAGTTCAAGATGCAGATGGTGCTGGAGGAACGGGACCTATGGGAGGTCGTCAGCGGTGAGATCAAGGCGGAACAGTGCGAGACTCAGTTGGACCAAGCGACGTACAAGAGGAAGTCAAGAAAGGCGATGGCAGTGATCTGTCTAGCCATGGAAGATTCCCAGCTACCGTTGGTCCGGTCGGCAAGTGGTGCATGCGACGCATGGTCAAGGTTGGAAGACCACTTCGAGAAGAAGAGTCTTGCCAACAAGCTGTTCTTGCGCCGTCGCTTCTTCACGACAATGATGGAAGAAGGCGACGATGTGCTCGAACACATCAACAAGCTCAAGACGCTGGCGGAACAGCTAGAAGCGGTGGGGGCTCCAGTCTGCGAGGACGATCTGGTGATCACACTCCTCGGCAGCCTGAGTGACTCGTATCAATTCTTGATCACAGCTTTGGAGTCGCGCTCAGACACTCTTAGCTGGGAGCTCGTGACGTCTCGACTGCTTCATGAAGAAATGAAGCGGAAGGAGCAAGGAAGTAAAGGTGATGAAGCTTCGCAAGGTCAAGCGTTCATCACAAGGGACAATCAGCGCAAAGGGCGACCAGTGAAGAAGTCCTGGCCGTGCCACAATTGCGGAAAGATTGGTCACTGGATGGCGGAGTGCCCCTCGCGCATCCAAGAAAACACGGAGAGACACCGGCCACAGCGTGCTCAAGACAGCGGCGACCGCTATCGATCACAACGTGCAAACGTCGCTCAAGAAGAAGACTCGGGCGACTACCTCTTTTCGATCGGTGAAACGACATCTGCGAAATCGAGCGACATCTGGCTGGTCGACTCCGGGGCGACGCAGCACATGACGTGCTCCAAGAAGTTCATGCGGAACTACAAGGGGTTTGACGCTGTGGATGTCCATCTCGCGGATGATGGAATCGTCCAAGCAATCGGCAGTGGGGACATTGTCATGTCGATGAAGACACCCCAAGGGATGAAGAAAGGTGTGCTCACAAACGTGTGGCACATCCCAAAGTTATCCAGAAACCTGTTCTCGGTCGGCCGCTTCACCAAGGATGTCGGCCCAGTGACGTTCACGAAGGATGGGTGCTATGGAGAAGCGAAAGGGACCAAGTGGAAAATTGGTGCCCGTGAAGGTAAAGGACTGTTCAAGCTGCAAATGACTCCAGTGGCGCCGGAACAAGCAAATGCAGCCAAGTCGTCGGGATGTCAAGGGGGCACCAAGTCGTACCTCTGGCACCTTCGGCTTGGCCACATAGGTCACGATGGACTCAATTGCATCGTGACGAAGAACATTGGAATTGGCATCGACATATCTTCGGTGAAGAAGTGGGACGTGTGTGAAGGTTGTGCTCTGGGAAAACAGACTCGAGTGCGCTTCCAATCAAACACTACAGCTCGCACCTCCAAACTCCTCGAAGTGATTCACAGCGACGTATGCGGACCGATGTCGATGGCAACTTTCAGTGGAAAACGGTACTTCGTGACATTCATTGATGACAAGTCAAGATACTGTGTCGTCTATCTGCTCAAGAGCAAATCTGAAGTTGCGGCGAAGTTCATGGAATACGCTGCGATGGCCGAAACGCAAACCGGAAAGCGCGTGAAGTACCTTCAAAGCGACAATGGGGGTGAATACAAGTCCGACAAGCTGGCACGATTCTGCGCGGAACGGGGAATACAACAAAGGTTCACACCCCCATATACTCCTCAGCTAAACGGAGTAGCTGAGAGAATGAATCGCACGCTGGTCGAGTGTGCGCGTTGCATGATGGAACACGCTGGACTGGGAAAGAGCTACTGGGGTGAAGCAGTGATGACGGCGATGTTTCTTCGAAACCGCTGTCCAACACGTGCCATTCACCAAGACAAGTCTCCATATCAAGTGTGGACGATGAAGAAACCGATTCTGGCCAACCTTAAAGTGTTTGGATGCCACGCGTATGTTCAAGTGCCTCAAGACAAACGCGCGAAGTTCGACTCCAAGTCATCACTCTGTCGTTTCCTGGGATACGCCGAACACCAGAAGTCATATCGATTTGAGGAAGTGTCAACAGGAGCGATCAAGATCAGTCGCGATGCCACATTCATGGAAGACAAGTTTGATGAAGGTCCGCGCAACTACAACGATGAGTCAAGTGTCGTTGAGTTTGATGATCATGATGAGGACGAAGAAAAAGAAGAAGGTAAAACTGACGACGACATGGACTCGAGCGACGATGACAACGAAGACACCAGGTCTTCGAAGAGCAACATCAAGAGACACACGCGCACTCAATCACTTGAGAAAGCTACCGTCATTCCAAGTCCCAAGCGAAGAACATACAGAGGTCCGTCGCTTGAGCATGTTTCAGCGGCTGCAATGGATTTTGAAGCAGCCTACATCGTTGATTCAGTGGGGGAAACGCCGACTACATTCAAGTCGGCGATGGAATCAAGCGACTCCGGCAAGTGGAAAGAAGCGTGTGACTCGGAGTTCGATTCGCTTCAGAGAAACGACACGTGGGAAATCGTGCCTCTTCCGAAAGGTCGCAAGGCCATCGGGTGCCGATGGGTTTTTCGTGTAAAGGAGAATCAAGATGGCGAAGTTGAACGTTTCAAGGCAAGACTTGTGGCCAAAGGATTCTCACAGGAATTCGGAGTCGACTATGAAGAAACTTTCGCACCGGTGGCCAAGTTCACATCGATTCGTGTGGTGCTCAGTATGGCGGCCAAGTACGGCCTAATGCTACATCAGATGGACGTCAAAACAGCGTTTCTTAACGGCTCCCTCAACGAAGACATCTACATGGACCAGCCGGACGGATACCTGGATGCAACACAGCCGGACGGATACCTGGATGCAACACAGCCGGACTATGTGTGCAAGCTAAAGAGATCACTCTACGGCTTGAAGCAATCGCCTCGCATGTGGAACCAAACAATCGATGGGTTCATGATCAAGATGGGATTCAAGAAGTGCGAATCGGACCACTGCATCTACATCAAGCGAGACGACCAAGACATGATTCTCGTGGTGCTCTACGTCGATGATCTCATCCTGGCCAGCAGCAACAACGAACTCCTCAAGTCAACCAAGATGGCGCTGAGCAAACGCTTCGAAATGACGGATCTCGGTGAGCTCGATTACTTTCTCGGCATGGAGATCAAGAACGACCGTAAGACGGGAATGGTGACTGTACAACAAACCAAGTTTCTCAAGTCCGTGTTAACCAAGTTCGGAATGGATAACAGCAAGCCAGTGAAGACGCCTCAAGATCCCGGCCTGAAGCTAACCAAGAACATGTGTGAACAAGAATGCAAGCACGAAGACACCATGTGCAACGTGCCATATCGAAGTGCTGTCGGAGGCATCATGTATCTCATGGTCGCCACACGTCCGGATCTAGCTGCTGCAGTGGGATCATTATCCCAGTTCTCGTCCGACCCATGCCCGACTCACTGGCAAGCTTTGAAGCGTGTGCTGAGATACCTGCAAGCAACGCCCAATCATGGTCTTGAGTTTACACGTGAAGAAGGAAGCCGTATCTGCGGGTACACCGACGCAGACTGGGCCGGTGACATTGAGTCAAGACGAAGTACAAGCGGCTATGTGTTCATGATGAGCGGAGGATGCATCAGCTGGAAAAGCCAGAAACAACGGACGGTCGCGCTATCTTCAACAGAAGCAGAATACATGGCGCTTTCCGAAGCAACCAAAGAAGCAGTATGGCTCAAAGTGCTTTTGGGGGAACTTGGTGAGATGACAAGCGACGAAGCGATCAAGATGTATGAAGACAACCAAGGATCAATCGCTCTCGCCAAGAACCCGGAGTTCCATAAGAGAACAAAACACATCGACATACGCTACCATTTTGTGCGTGAGAAGGTGGAATCAGGTGAAGTCGTTTTGGAGTATTGCCCGACTCAAGATATGCTGGCAGACATGATGACCAAGCCGATCGCCGCTGTACAATTTGAAAACATTCGCGATCGACTTGGGATCCAAGGTGCCGCAGCTAACGAGTCGAGAGGGAGTGTTGAAAAGACAGCGGCTGTGAAGAAGACACCTCGTCAAGCTGCGTCAAGTGTTGAAGCAAGTGGAAGACCAAGCTTCGCTATACCGGTGGGTACCGGTATGTACCAGTAAGGGCGAAGTCAGGAAATGACGTCACTGGATGACGTCATTGCATGACGTCAGTGGGTGACGTCACTGGATGACGTCACTGCGAATAATAGGCTTAGAGGTAGTATTCAAAGTTGCGAACTAAGTACCTATTATAAATATATATTCTCTTTGCGTTTTGCACTCGGACCAAGAAGTCTAAAGTTCATCAACACGCGCACTCAATCACTTGAGAAAGCTACCGTCATTCCAAGTCCCAAGCGAAGAACATACAGAGGTCCGTCGCTTGAGCATGTGTCAGCGGCTGCAATGGATTTTGAAGCAGCCTACATCGTTGATTCAGTGGGGGAAACGCCGACTACATTCAAGTCGGCGATGGAATCAAGCGACTCCGGCAAGTGGAAAGAAGCGTGTGACTCGGAGTTCGATTCGCTTCAGAGAAACGACACGTGGGAAATCGTGCCTCTTCCGAAAGGTCGCAAGGCCATCGGGTGCCGATGGGTTTTTCGTGTAAAGGAGAATCAAGATGGCGAAGTTGAACGTTTCAAGGCAAGACTTGTGGCCAAAGGATTCTCACAGAAATTCGGAGTTGACTATGAAGAAACTTTCGCACCGGTGGCCAAGTTCACATCGATTCGTGTGGTGCTCAGTATGGCGGCTAAGTACGGCCTAATGCTACATCAGATGGACGTCAAGACAGCGTTTCTTAACGGCTCCCTCAACGAAGACATCTACATGGACCAGCCGGACGGATACCTGGATGCAACACAGCCGGACTATGTGTGCAAGCTAAAGAGATCACTCTACGGCTTGAAGCAATCGCCTCGCATGTGGAACCAAACAATCGATGGGTTCATGATCAAGATGGGATTCAAAGGAAGTGCGAATCGGACCACTGCATCTACATCAAGCGAGACGACCAAGACATGATTCTCGTGGTGCTCTACGTCGATGATCTCATCCTGGCCAGCAGCAACAACGAACTCCTCAAGTCAACCAAGATGGCGCTGAGCAAACGCTTCGAAATGACGGATCTCGGTGAGCTCGATTACTTTCTCGGCATGGAGATCAAGAACGACCGTAAGACGGGAATGGTGACTGTACAACAAACCAAGTTTCTCAAGTCCGTGTTAACCAAGTTCGGAATGGATAACAGCAAGCCAGTGAAGACGCCTCAAGATCCCGGCCTGAAGCTAACCAAGAACATGTGTGAACAAGAATGCAAGCACGAAGACACCATGTGCAACGTGCCATATCGAAGTGCTGTCGGAGGCATCATGTATCTCATGGTCGCCACACGTCCGGATCTAGCTGCTGCAGTGGGATCATTATCCCAGTTCTCGTCCGACCCATGCCCGACTCACTGGCAAGCTTTGAAGCGTGTGCTGAGATACCTGCAAGCAACGCCCAATCATGGTCTTGAGTTTACACGTGAAGAAGGAAGCCGTATCTGCGGGTACACCGACGCAGACTGGGCCGGCGACATTGAGTCAAGACGAAGTACAAGCGGCTATGTGTTCATGATGAGCGGAGGATGCATCAGCTGGAAAAGACAGAAACAACGGACGGTCGCGTTATCTTCAACAAAAGCAGAATACATGGCGCTTTCCGAAGCAACCAAAGAAGCAGTATGGCTCAAAGTGCTTTTGGGGGAACTTGGTGAGATGACAAGCGACGAAGCGATCAAGATGTATGAAGACAACCAAGGATCAATCGCTCTCGCCAAGAACCCGGAGTTCCATAAGAGAACAAAACACATCGACATACGCTACCATTTTGTGCGTGAGAAGGTGGAATCAGGTGAAGTCGTTTTGGAGTATTGCCCGACTCAAGATATGCTGGCAGACATGATGACCAAGCCGATCGCCGCTGTACAATTTGAAAACATTCGCGATCGACTTGGGATCCAAGGTGCCGCAGCTAACGAGTCGAGAGGGAGTGTTGAAAAGACAGCGGCTGTGAAGAAGACACCTCGTCAAGCTGCGTCAAGTGTTGAAGCAAGTGGAAGACCAAGCTTCGCTATACCGGTGGGTACCGGTATGTACCAGTAAGGGCGAAGTCAGGAAATGACGTCACTGGATGACGTCATTGCATGACGTCAGTGGGTGACGTCAGTGGGTGACGTCACTGGATGACGTCACTGCGAATAATAGGCTTAGAGGTAGTATTCAAAGTTGCGAACTAAGTACCTATTATAAATATATATTCACTTTGCGTTTTGCACTCGGACCAAGAAGTCTAAAGTTCATCAACTGGATGACGTCACTGCGAATAATAGGCTTAGAGGTAGTATTCAAAGTTGCGAACTAAGTACCTATTATAAATATATATTCACTTTGCGTTTTGCACTCGGACCAAGAAGTCTAAAGTTCATCAGGTTATGAGCCCAAGTTCGTCAGACTCTGAAACCGCCAACAATTCAAGCTTAGCTGCCATGGACGCCTCCTCCCTCCGCATCTCCAAGTTCGATGGAACTAACTTCCACGCCTGGAAGTTCAAGATGCGGATGGTGCTTGAGGAGCGGAACTTATGGGAGGTCGTCAGCGGTGAGATCAAGGCGGAACAGTGCGAGACTCAGTTGGACCAAGCGACGTACAAGAGGAAGTCAAGAAAGGCGATGGCAGTGATCTGTCTAGCCATGGAAGATTCCCAGCTACCGTTGGTCCGGTCGGCAAGTGGTGCATGCGACGCATGGTCAAGGTTGGAAGACCACTTCGAGAAGAAGAGTCTTGCCAACAAGCTGTTCTTGCGCCGTCGCTTCTTCACGACAATGATGGAAGAAGGCGACGATGTACTCGAACACATCAACAAGCTCAAGACGCTGGCGGAACAGCTAGAAGCGGTGGGGGCTCCAGTCTGCGAGGACGATCTGGTGATCACACTTCTCGGCAGCCTGAGTGACTCGTATCAATTCTTGATCACAGCTTTGGAGTCGCGCTCAGACACTCTTAGCTGGGAGCTCGTGACGTCTCGACTGCTTCATGAAGAAATGAAGCGGAGGGAGCAAGGAAGTAAAGGTGATGAAGCTTCGCAAGGTCAAGCGTTCATCACAAGGGACAATCAGCGCAAAGGGCGACCAGTGAAGAAGTCCTGGCCGTGCCACAATTGCGGAAAGATTGGTCACTGGATGGCGGAGTGATGAACTTTAGACTTCTTGGTCCGAGTGCAAAACGCAAAGTGAATATATATTTATAATAGGTACTTAGTTCGCAACTTTGAATACTACCTCTAAGCCTATTATTTGCAGTGACGTCATCCAGTGACGTCACCCACTGACGTCACCCACTGACGTCATGCAATGTCGTCATCCAGTGACGTCATTTCCTGACTTCGCCCTTACTGGTACATACCGGTACCCACCGGTATAGCGAAGCTTGGTCTTCCACTTGCTTCAACACTTGACGCAGCTTGACGAGGTGTCTTCTTCACAGCCGCTGTCTTTTCAACACTCCCTCTCGACTCGTTAGCTGCGGCACCTTGGATCCCAAGTCGATCGCGAATGTTTTCAAATTGTACAGCGGCGATCGGCTTGGTCATCATGTCTGCCAGCATATCTTGAGTCGGGCAATACTCCAAAACGACTTCACCTGATTCCACCTTCTCACGCACAAAATGGTAGCGTATGTCGATGTGTTTTGTTCTCTTATGGAACTCCGGGTTCTTGGCGAGAGCGATTGATCCTTGGTTGTCTTCATACATCTTGATCGCTTCGTCGCTTGTCATCTCACCAAGTTCCCCCAAAAGCACCTTGAGCCATACTGCTTCTTTGGTTGCTTCGGAAAGCGCCATGTATTCTGCTTCTGTTGAAGATAACGCGACCGTCCGTTGTTTCTGTCTTTTCCAGCTGATGCATCCTCCGCTCATCATGAACACATAGCCGCTTGTACTTCGTCTTGACTCAATGTCGTCGGCCCAGTCTGCGTCGGTGTACCCGCAGATACGGCTTCCTTCTTCACGTGTAAACTCAAGACCATGATTGGGCGTTGCTTGCAGGTATCTCAGCACACGCTTCAAAGCTTGCCAGTGAGTCGGGCATGGGTCGGACGAGAACTGGGATAATGATCCCACTGCAGCAGCTAGATCCGGACGTGTGGCGACCATGAGATACATGATGCCTCCGACAGCACTTCGATATGGCACGTTGCACATGGTGTCTTCGTGCTTGCATTCTTGTTCACACATGTTCTTGGTTAGCTTCAGGCCGGGATCTTGAGGCGTCTTCACTGGCTTGCTGTTATCCATTCCGAACTTGGTTAACACGGACTTGAGAAACTTGGTTTGTTGTACAGTCACCATTCCCGTCTTACGGTCGTTCTTGATCTCCATGCCGAGAAAGTAATCGAGCTCACCGAGATCCGTCATTTCGAAGCGTTTGCTCAGCGCCATCTTGGTTGACTTGAGGAGTTCGTTGTTGCTGCTGGCCAGGATGAGATCATCGACGTAGAGCACCACGAGAATCATGTCTTGGTCGTCTCGCTTGATGTAGATGCAGTGGTCCGATTCGCACTTCTTGAATCCCATCTTGATCATGAACCCATCGATTGTTTGGTTCCACATGCGAGGCGATTGCTTCAAGCCGTAGAGTGATCTCTTTAGCTTGCACACATAGTCCGGCTGTGTTGCATCCAGGTATCCGTCCGGCTGGTCCATGTAGATGTCTTCGTTGAGGGAGCCGTTAAGAAACGCTGTCTTGACGTCCATCTGATGTAGCATTAGGCCGTACTTAGCCGCCATACTGAGCACCACACGAATCGATGTGAACTTGGCCACCGGTGCGAAAGTTTCTTCATAGTCAACTCCGAATTTCTGTGAGAATCCTTTGGCCACAAGTCTTGCCTTGAAACGTTCAACTTCGCCATCTTGATTCTCCTTTACACGAAAAACCCATCGGCACCCAATGGCCTTGCGACCTTTCGGAAGAGGCACGATTTCCCACGTGTCGTTTCTCTGAAGCGAATCGAACTCCGAGTCACACGCTTCTTTCCACTTGCCGGAGTCGCTTGATTCCATCGCCGACTTGAATGTAGTCGGCGTTTCCCCCACTGAATCAACGATGTAGGCTGCTTCAAAATCCATTGCAGCCGCTGACACATGCTCAAGCGACGGACCTCTGTATGTTCTTCGCTTGGGACTTGGAATGACGGTAGCTTTCTCAAGTGATTGAGTGCGCGTGTGTCTCTTGATGTTGCTCTTCGAAGACCTGGTGTCTTCGTTGTCATCGTCGCTCGAGTCCATGTCGTCGTCAGTTTTACCTTCTTCTTTTTCTTCGTCCTCATCATGATCATCAAACTCAACGACACTTGACTCATCGTTGTAGTTGCGCGGACCTTCATCAAACTTGTCTTCCATGAATGTGGCATCGCGACTGATCTTGATCGCTCCTGTTGACACTTCCTCAAATCGATATGACTTCTGGTGTTCGGCGTATCCCAGGAAACGACAGAGTGATGACTTGGAGTCGAACTTCGCGCGTTTGTCTTGAGGCACTTGAACATACGCGTGGCATCCAAACACTTTAAGGTTGGCCAGAATCGGTTTCTTCATCGTCCACACTTGATATGGAGACTTGTCTTGGTGAATGGCACGTGTTGGACAGCGGTTTCGAAGAAACATCGCCGTCATCACTGCTTCACCCCAGTAGCTCTTTCCCAGTCCAGCGTGTTCCATCATGCAACGCGCACACTCGACCAGCGTGCGATTCATTCTCTCAGCTACTCCGTTTAGCTGAGGAGTATATGGGGGTGTGAACCTTTGTTGTATTCCCCGTTCCGCGCAGAATCGTGCCAGCTTGTCGGACTTGTATTCACCCCCATTGTCGCTTTGAAGGTACTTCACGCGCTTTCCGGTTTGCGTTTCGGCCATCGCAGCGTATTCCATGAACTTCGCCGCAACTTCAGATTTGCTCTTGAGCAGATAGACGACACAGTATCTTGACTTGTCATCGATGAATGTCACGAAGTACCGTTTTCCACTGAAAGTTGCCATCGACATCGGTCCGCATACGTCGCTGTGAATCACTTCGAGGAGTTTGGAGGTGCGAGCTGTAGTGTTTGATTGGAAGCGCACTCGAGTCTGTTTTCCCAGAGCACAACCTTCACACACGTCCCACTTCTTCACCGAAGATATGTCGATGCCAATTCCAATGTTCTTCGTCACGATGCAATTGAGTCCATCATGACCTATGTGGCCAAGCCGAAGGTGCCAGAGGTACGACTTGGTGCCCCCTTGACATCCCGACGACTTGGCTGCATTTGCTTGTTCCGGCGCCACTGGAGTCATTTGCAGCTTGAACAGTTCTTTACCTTCACGGGCACCAATTTTCCACTTGGTCCCTTTCGCTTCTCCATAGCACCCATCCTTCGTGAACGTCACTGGGCCGACATCCTTGGTGAAGCGGCCGACCGAGAACAGGTTTCTGGATAACTTTGGGATGTGCCACACGTTTGTGAGCACACCTTTCTTCATCCCTTGGGGTGTCTTCATCGACATGACAATGTCCCCACTGCCGATTGCTTGGACGATTCCATCATCCGCGAGATGGACATCCACAGCGTCAAACCCCTTGTAGTTCCGCATGAACTTCTTGGAGCACGTCATGTGCTGCGTCGCCCCGGAGTCGACCAGCCAGATGTCGCTCGATTTCGCAGATGTCGTTTCACCGATCGAAAAGAGGTAGTCGCCCGAGTCTTCTTCTTGAGCGACGTTTGCACGTTGTGATCGATAGCGGTCGCCGCTGTCTTGAGCACGCTGTGGCCGGTGTCTCTCCGTGTTTTCTTGGATGCGCGAGGGACACTCCGCCATCCAGTGACCAATCTTTCCGCAATTGTGGCACGGCCAGGACTTCTTCACTGGTCGCCCTTTGCGCTGATTGTCCCTTGTGATGAACGCTTGACCTTGCGAAGCTTCATCACCTTTACTTCCTTGCTCCTTCCGCTTCATTTCTTCATGAAGCAGTCGAGACGTCACGAGCTCCCAGCTAAGAGTGTCTGAGCGCGACTCCAAAGCTGTGATCAAGAATTGATACGAGTCACTCAGGCTGCCGAGGAGTGTGATCACCAGATCGTCCTCGCAGACTGGAGCCCCCACCGCTTCTAGCTGTTCCGCCAGCGTCTTGAGCTTGTTGATGTGTTCGAGCACATCGTCGCCTTCTTCCATCATTGTCGTGAAGAAGCGACGGCGCAAGAACAGCTTGTTGGCAAGACTCTTCTTCTCGAAGTGGTCTTCCAACCTTGACCATGCGTCGCATGCACCACTTGCCGACCGGACCAACGGTAGCTGGGAATCTTCCATGGCTAGACAGATCACTGCCATCGCCTTTCTTGACTTCCTCTTGTACGTCGCTTGGTCCAACTGAGTCTCGCACTGTTCCGCCTTGATCTCACCGCTGACGACCTCCCATAGGTCCCGTTCCTCCAGCACCATCTGCATCTTGAACTTCCAGGCGTGGAAGTTAGTTCCATCGAACTTGGAGATGCGGAGGGAGGAGGCGTCCATGGCAGCTAAGCTTGAATTGTTGGCGGTTTCAGAGTCTGACGAACTTGGGCTCATAACCTGATGAACTTTAGACTTCTTGGTCCGAGTGCAAAACGCAAAGTGAATATATATTTATAATAGGTACTTAGTTCGCAACTTTGAATACTACCTCTAAGCCTATTATTCGCAGTGACGTCATCCAGTGACGTCACCCACTGACGTCATGCAATGACGTCATCCAGTGACGTCATTTCCTGACTTCGCCCTTACTGGTACATACCGGTACCCACCGGTATAGCGAAGCTTGGTCTTCCACTTGCTTCAACACTTGACGCAGCTTGACGAGGTGTCTTCTTCACAGCCGCTGTCTTTTCAACACGGAGTGCCCCTCGCGCATCCAAGAAAACACGGAGAGACACCGGCCACAGCGTGCTCAAGACAGCGGCGACCGCTATCGATCACAACGTGCAAACGTCGCTCAAGAAGAAGACTCGGGCGACTACCTCTTTTCGATCGGTGAAACGACATCTGCGAAATCGAGCGACATCTGGCTGGTCGACTCCGGGGCGACGCAGCACATGACGTGCTCCAAGAAGTTCATGCGGAACTACAAGGGGTTTGACGCTGTGGATGTCCATCTCGCGGATGATGGAATCGTCCAAGCAA